CCTTTTCGAGGACCGCTTTCGAGAAACGACGTCATGTTTCGAACTTATTTTAAATTGTTCCGATAGGCGCCTACCTTATATAGACTTTTTAAGGAAGGTAAATCTATTGATATTGTCCGGGGAATATATCGGTACACAATCTGTGGTCGGGGTGTGTGTCTTGTTTCAGCTGTATCAGCAAATAGCCGTAGGATTTAGACATTGCGTCGTCGTTCGTAAGCTTCCCGCAGAAGAACGCTTCCTCCCGGAAACTTCTGTTGAGACAGACGTCTGATTTGTTATGCGTCTCTAGGATTTTTCATCAACACGATGTAATGGGCATTAATACTGATGTTTCTGTGTTCTTTGTTTTGGAAAAATAAATTTTATAGGATGTATATCACGCTGATGTTTCCGTGATGACTCTTCTTCGTAAACAACGACGTCATGCTTGCACCCACTTCCGTCATCAGCTCTTCTATGACAATCAAATGCTTGAGTGAAGCGTCCAAACGATCTAGATTGGGTAAACCTTCGTGGAAGGACGCGTAGAAAGTCTGATATTCTCCGTAACACCACACGATACGGGAGTCATCATTTACCGACATATTCTAGGACTTATTTACGATCATAGTCTTTTCGCTTCCCGTAGGACCCGTAACCAGGCACGTAAAAGGACGTATCCAAGGTAAGAAATGACCGACGGGCAACATGTGTTCGGGTACGTCGTTGATTTTGAAAGGATAATGTTTTTCTTCGATCGGTACAGTACTATGCAGTGAACTGTGAAGGTGCGTATCGTCGTTCGGATGTTTTCTTTGAAGCATTTCGCGCGACGCATGCTTTCTTTTCGCATGTACCGTCTCAGAATATTTCCTCGTGAAAGATTGAAAACAAATCGGACAGAAATGATCGTGAGGCATAATGTAAATACGGTGTAATTTATTTTCGATTGCCCTTACTAATACTTTTTTCGGGGATACGTCGTCGGCGTCGATCCAGGAATCGGATTTCTCTGGCCAGCCTAACCACCGAACTAATTTCTTTCCTTTGACTTTTTTCGTTTTTAAAACTTATTCTATCTTTCAGACCGTGTCTTTATCATTGTTTACTCTCTGCAATTCTCGACCGCAGAAAGAACCCTGTATTTGCTTGTTGTCGAAGCCTTTGACTTTACACGCGTGGATATTTCCTCGGTGAGAAACTACGAATATTTCTTCGGTCCACTTCTGTTGCCATCCGCGACGAAACTGACATTTCTTATAACTCAATCTCACCTGATCTCATTTCTTAAATTTGTACGGACTTCTCTTCAAAGGCTTCTAGTCCTTTCTTCAGATAGAAATGAGGCGTTGGGTGTCTTCGTTTACGTCCTTGGGGGCGAAACCGTGCAGCCTCGAATGTTTTCTACTGTTGTAGCTTCGAGATTCGGTAACACATCGCTGAACCTGTATGTCTGATTCGAGAGGAAGTACCTATATATGATATTTTTCAATTTACCTATGAATGATTCGGCAAAAGCAGCTATGAGACACTATGACTCGCTACGCGTGTGACGCCTATGAATTTACAGTAGCGTTTAAGAGTCGTTCCGAAATTCCCTTCCGATCTGACTAGTTCTTGTTTTCAGTCGGCAATATTTCTTTGATAGTTTCCAAAAAGGTGTTGTCTTTCTTCTCTTTCAGAGGCTTTACCCAATCATTCTGGGATAATGATCGATGACGACGAGTAAAAAGCACACACCGTCGTTATCCTCCTTGATGGTAGACACGACGGCCATTTGCATCCAACTTGTCTTCGAACGCCGTAGTGATCTTGGTTTTGTAGCCAATCGGCGATCTGTGATGGAAAATCTTATATTTACCTTAATTTTTTTTATGCCGTCATACAACCTAGAGGGACCTGTAAAACCTAAAACATGCTTGGGATCTTGCCATATCTTCCTCACATAATCTTTTCGTTTTCTTGATGACATTTTTCCTTACGACTGACAAATACCTTCTCTTTATGCACTTTTCCGTGCTGCTAACATTTTGAATTGTTTTAGAAACGAATCTGTCCTTTTTCACTTCACAAAGGTCTTTGGTAAATATTTCCAAAATCAATAATCCACTATCGTTAACACATTGCAATAATCATTTTTCGTCTGAATACTCATTATCGCAGATATCCAGTCCTTTCTTTTTCTCAGTTTCCACCTTAAGTAAAATTTGTAAAGAGAACGCACGGCGGCAGGCATCGTAGATACAGAATTACACAGCATGGTAGAAATGACGCACGTTTCCTCTAAATGGGTCAAATTAATTTTTTTTCCTTCGCATCAAGCCTTAATTTTCCCGACAATTGTGAACCCGTAGCCATCAGTAGAATATCGCCGAATACTGGAAAAGTTCAAAGTACACATTTTGAGGCCAAAAATGTTTTATTCAAAAGTAAAGCTTTGCGTAAAAAAGAATGTAAGATGAAAATATCTTTGTATATCAAATCATATTTTTTAAAATAGTGTTTTTTGCAGTGTAAAGTGTAAAACAGTAATGTTTCTAAGTAGAGATTGTCAAATGGTAAGATTTTGTCAATAAAAACAGCAAAAATTCAGTTTTTCATGCAAATAACAGCAGTAAACAACAGGAAACAATAGCAAACAGCAGCAAAACAGCAGCAAACAGCATCAAAACAGAGGTAAACAACAGTAAAACAACAGCAAAAGTTTTTTTTGTTATCATTACATTTTTTTTTTAATAAATAAAAATGTAAAGATGTATGTGAAAAATATAGATTTTGCAAAATGGAAAAAAACATGTTAGAATTAAGTTCTTGCACGCAATATACCAATAATACACGCCATTAAAGTCATATTCCCTTGTAAAAAAGGGATGTATACACATTACGGTAAGTCGAAAACTTAATGACGTCGTGAAAACCAACCCGACAGTCGAATTACGTACTTTACTATAGCTAAAAACATCACTGACGTCGTCAAAACCAATCCGTCAGTCGAATTACGTACTTTACTATAGCTAAAAACATCAATGACGTCGTCAAAACCAATCCGTCAGTCGAATTACGTACTTAACTATAGCTAAAAAACATCAATGACATCGTCAAAACCAATCCGTCAGTCGAATTACGTACTTAACTATAGCTAAAAACATCAATGACGTCGTCAAAACCAACCCGACAGTCGAATTACGTACTTAACTATAGCTAAAAACATCAATGACGTCGTCAAAACCAAACTGAATTATATAGGACACAACTGCAACAGTGCAAGCAGAGCATGGACGACAATAAGTGACAGGGGCGATAACTCGTAAGTGAAGACGTCAAACACTCCGCCATGATGGTTACATGAGGATGAGATGCTGTAAATTTATGGGGTTACTAAGCGCACCAACTTAGATTTCCGTTGCTAAGGAACTCAAAGATGGCGGAATCCTTAGCATCCCCACCCCTCATCCTCATGTTAACATAATTATTTTATAATTATAAACATAGTGATTTGCCTATAGATCTCCGAAGCCGAGAGAAAAAAGATAATATTTAACATGATTTTTCCAGTTAAAACAATTACCTTTATTACTACTACTTAAAAAGGAAAACCCAGTGTTTAAAATACAGTTATTCGAATACATTAGTTTTAACCAGTATTTTATTATTCTATACTTCCTCATGCATTCTAATGGGTATCGACCGAATTCAAAATTGACCATTACAGGTCGACCTCTTTACTTTAACAAAACAATAAACTAACCTTTTCAGTATATCAATACCCTTTAAAGAACGCCAAGCTCCCTTCGTATAATGCAACATACTGCACACATATGTATCAAATAAATTTCATAAAGTAAGATAAATAACTGTTTTTGTATCTGATGGAATTTATTATTGTATTTAAGTTTCACTCCCAGTTTCAGTCCATGTTTCTCTATCATGTATACGACCTCCATTTCTAAACAGTTTTTGTATTCTCTGTATTATCTGTCATTTTCCATGCTCTAGATTAATTATGAAGGCTATCTACAAGGTTCTGCAAACCTTCAATAACTTCGGACAACATTACTAAATCATCAGCATACATTTAAAAAAATAAACTTACCAAAATCGTTAACAAAGGTGAAAAAATAAATTACCTTTTCTCCTTCCTCTAACAGAGTGAGCTCTGTTGGTTGAGTTTTTTGATACTTGTAGATAGAATTGTTAAAGCGAAATTTGTGTGATCAGATGCATCTGTATCTGCTTTTGACAAATTAGAAAACCTACCCGTTCTGCTAAAAATAAAAACAAAACAATATTTTACCGCGGTTTCTTAACTTGCTCGGGGATTACCCTACCGAGTCCAGCTTATGAGAATTAGCAAGAAAATCAAGACGGCATGACTTTTTCATAATGGTTATCCAATTTATGTTATGATTGAGTTTTCATTCAGGTTTAATTTCACGTCTTGGGTCTTGTTGTACCGAGATATGGTTTCATCATATCGAAATGAAATAGTGATCAGCTAATTAAATAAGAAAACTTCGTATTTATTAATTTGTTTTATTTATAAACAAACACCAATATACATCTATGTTTACACAAACGTTAGCCTTGAAATAAAATGAAAGCAGGAGTACATGTGTGTATTCTTAGTCGATAGTATCAGACCTTGCAATGGAAAATTAAAAAAAATAATAAAAACGCGAAACTACGATGCATATTTACACATCAATTCAAAGTACTTTAAACTATAAACTTAGTGATATTTACAACAATGTGAAACAGGACAGTAGGCTATAGACGGCACTAATGGTACCGGGGATATCCACTTAGTAACCCTATACTTTATCATGACAGATCAAATCGAACCCCCCGACCACTAACATTACCAGGGGATATCCACTTAGTAACTCTGTACTTTATCATGCCAGATCAAATCGAACCCCCCGACCAATAACGGTACCAGGGGATATCCACTTAGTAACTCTGTACTTTATCATGACAGTTAAATCGAACCCCCCCCCCCCCCCCCCCAATAACGGTACCAGGGGATATCCACTTAGTAACTCTGTACTTTATCATGACAGATCAAATCGAACCCTAATCCTTTATTCTTCAACTTATATCGTTTTTCATCATGATAGGGACGAACTCGTACAGTCAATATATATCAACATCTACAAACTAATACACGCAGCGGATGATTACTATCATTCAAATCAGGAAAACTTTGATGAAAATGACGAAATTTAAGCCAAACTATGAAATAAAATCAATATATATATATATATATACATTAAAGTCAGTTAGTAGTTGTTCCAATTTGAAACTCTTCAAATGAAGGTGATTTTAGTCATGTCAACTTTGTCAACAAGCAGACATGACAACAAATGGATGCGCTATTCAACGATATCAACACTGTTAACACGTGCTCGATTTAAGCAGGAAACATTTTATAAACGTGGATTAAGCCGATCTTTCCCTCGTTAACAAAATGTTAATTATACCAACGAAGTGACGAATATTCTTTCTTTTAGTTTGGATCGAATTTGTCGTTTAAACAGCGCCATTTTTCGACTCAGACCGTAACTTATGACGTCATGCCATGGGGTTCCAGTTTGAAGTAGTTATCTGACCCAGAGGCGTCAGTATGATCGATTTCGTCTTCTTTATCATTGACGGACTCGGAACGATTGGAAAGTTTCTCCAGCACAAAGTATTGACCATCATGAGGTGTTCCAGAGGGAACAGAACTGTTCGGATTACAATTAACGTTATCCAAAATACTCCCAGGTGTTGCTGTAGATTGTTTCTGACCTGGTTCTAATGACCCGGAAGTGTTTTCCACATTAACAGCCTTCTCTTTGATGTTGGACATTACGTCATATGTATTTAACTGTGGATCGTTCAGGTCGACAAATCTTCGATCTAAAACAGAATAGGTGTTTTTGGATTCCACAAACTCTTTTTGGTGAAGCATGTTGTAGGCATTTTCATTGACTAGAGTGTCGGGTACATCGTCATAAGCAGGTGCGCTCGGGAGAGCTCTGCCGTTACCACCTGTACCTCGTTGATTGGAGGGACCTCTGGGTTCTTCATCCAAAATCATCTAGAAATGTTAAGACGTACTAATTAAGAAAACACCATTCTTAAGCAAAAATGATGTTGGTTGTGGAAAAATCTGTTAAATGCATTTTTAAAATTATCATATTATTTAGTCTTTTATCTGAGACACCCAATCGACTGCTAATTCAGTACAAATTTACCAACAATTTTCACTAATTAGTACATATGTAATCAATCATTCGAAATAAAACAAATAATTAGCCTATAAAGTACACAGAAAATGATGACGTTATATGCGTAGAATTAGCTATGATATTACCGTGGTGTGGTCTATCTCAGAGTACATATGGTAGGTCGACTTATCCCGTTTAGTCACATCAGTGGCGGGTCGGGTTTGACACCACTTGCGCCATGCCAGGCAAAGAGCTAAAATGATCACAATGAGAAACACGATGCCCGTCACGGCTGCGAGGACAGTGATCGTAACTTTGTTGGAGACGGAATTAGCCGGGGTTGGTGCAAACGTCGGTGCTGTAACATAAGGAAGCTTTATTCAGGAAAAACAAAACAGATTTAAAGTTACCTCAGAATACCCTAACTGCCAATATATTGGCAGCCTTACCTCAGAATACCTTAAACTGCCAATATATTGGCAGCCTTTTGTTTTGAATTAATTTTAGAAATACTGAAATCTGTCGGTAATTAGACCCACGTCAAAAGTACTGGTATGATGAGATTTGTTTCGGTTACACTGTCGTTGGGACGGTTTAAATATCCTATTAACTAACACAACTATGACTTCACGGTGTATGCAAGGTGAGTATATGTATTGAGTGCGCATGATTTTCCGAGGCTGAGATATGTAAGTGTAGGACTCAATGTGATAGTGGGGTAACTGTCCACGTTTACACTGTTATCAGATCTTAAGACAGAAGGAATGGTCACGTCAAATGATAGGAATAGTTAAAAAAAGGTATCAAAATAAATCTTTTTACGTGGATACTGTAATGCAAAAGGACTTCCGAAGGTGTGTGATCGTCAGTCTAAGGTATGTGTGATCATAAGACTTACCTTGGGGTTTTATCCTTTTACTACTGGCTATATAATTCTTCAACTCTATGGTAACTCTTTCCTTGAGAATGGCGACTTTAGACTTACCTGCATTATCTGCAGACTGCGATGTCGCCATAATGGTCACGTGATATATTCAAAGACAGCTAATGAATGGTATGCTGGTTGCAGCATCTGTATCCCTACCAAAGTGTCATCTCGACTGTACAATACAGTTAATTTCTGATTTAGGTCTCCCTACAAAAATCGATCGGCAATCATTTGTGCTTTAAGTATAGACACTGGACAAGAGAACATTGACAGCACAACACCTTCCATCAGCAGTCTGTCGGGGAGCTGTAAGGCTAGCGTCGAAGTTAGTGATGGTTAGTGACCAACCACAGGAGCTTAACAGTTGTACATTATATACCACGTGAATTACCTGACGTCTGTACACTACATACCACGTGACTTACCTGACATCTGTACACTACATACCACGTGAATTACCTGACATCTGCACTCTGTATACCACGTGAATGACCTGACATCTGCACTCTGTATACCACGTGATTTACCTGACATCTGCACTCTGTATACCACGTGACTTACCTGACATCTGCACTCTGTATACCACGTGGCTTACCTGACATCTGCACTCTGTATACCACGTGACTTACCTGACATCTGCACTCTGTATACCACGTGGCTTACCTGACATCTGCACTCTGTATACCACGTGAATTACCTGACATCTGCACTCTGTATACCGCGTGACTTACCTGACATCTGCACTCTGTATACCGCGTGAATTACCTGACATCTGCACTCTGTATACCACGTGACTTACCTGACATCTGCACTCTGTATACCACGTGAATTACCTGACATCTGCACTCTGTATATCACGTGACTTACCTGACATCGGCACTCTGTATACTACGTGATTTATCTCACGTCTGTACAACGTTAACCAGGTGACTTACCTGATGTCTCTACTGGCTGTATGGGTGAACTTGTTAATGCTACACTTGTGGTCATTTGTGTAGTAGTTCTACCAGATCTGCTATTGTTTGTCCGTTTTCTGGCGGTATTGGTGGTGATGGTGGTTGGGGAGGTGGCGGGATTGACGGTGGTAATGGTAGAGGAAGGCGTGGTGGAGGACTTGCCAACAGAAGTTGTTCTGGATGACGGCAAGGTAGTTGGTATCTCTGTGCTTTCTTCATCTCCGGTTCCATAACCTTCCGAAAATTCTGAAGAACAATTGAGTTATTGACAGACATCTGACTCTGACTAACATACTTACTGGCAAGGACTCGTAAATAGGAAATGTAAACAAAAAATATCACAAATATAAAAAGGATTTATTTTTAGTGGTTCATTTTCCATTTTGTAATCCGGATCCATTTCCGTCCACGTTCGGTCGGTTTCACGTAATGTGTCGTTAGTGTAAGCTATATATAATCAGTATTTAGTTCTTTATAGTGTGTATCACGTTATGTATGGTCAGTATCAAGCTATGTATGATCAGTATCGTGTTATGTATGGTCAGTATCACGTTATGTATGGTCAGTATCACGTTATGTATGGTCAGTATCACGTTATGTATGGTCAGTATCAAGCTATGTATGGTCAGTATCAAGTTATGTATGGTCAGTATCAAGTTATGTATGGTCAGCATCAAGTTATATGTGGTCAGTATCAAGTTATGAATGATCAGTATCATGATATGTATGGTCAGTACCACGTTATGTATGGTCAGTATCACGTTATGTATGGTCAGTATCAAGCTATGTATGATCAGTATCAAGCTATGTATGGTCAGTATCAAGCTATGTATGGTCAGTATCAAGCTATGTATGGTCAGTATCAAGTTATGTATGGTCAGTATCAAGTTATGTATGGTCAATATCAAGTTATATATGGTCAGTATCAAGTCCTTCAGTATCAAGTTATGTATGGTCAGTATCACGTTATGTATGGTCAGTATCAAGCTATGTATGGTCAGTATCAAGTTATGTATGATCAGTATCAAGCTATGTATGGTCAGTATCAAGCTATGTATGGTCAGTATCAAGTTATGTATGGTCAGTATCAAGTTATGTATGATCAGTATCAAGCTATGTATGGTCAGTATCAAGTTATGTATGGTCAGTATCAAGTTATGTATGGTCAGTATCAAGTTATGTATGGTCAATATCAAGTTATATATGGTCAGTATCAAGTTATGTATGGTCAGTATCAAGCTATGTATGGTCAGTATCAAGTTATGTATGGTCAGTATCAAGATATGTATGGTCAGTATCAAGCTATGTATGGTCAGTATCAAGTTATGTATGGTCAATATCAAGTTATGTATGGTCAGTATCAATTTATGTATGATCAGTATCAAGCTATGTATGGTCAGTATCAATTTATGTATGGTCAGTATCAATTTATGTATGATCAGTATCAAGTTATGTATGGTCAGTATCAAGCTATGTATGGTCAGTATCAATTTATGTATGGTCAGTATCAATTTATGTATGATCAGTATCAAGTTATGTATGGTCAGTATCAAGTTATGTATGGTCAATATCAAGTTATGTATGGTCAGTATCAAGTTATATATGGTCAGTATCAAGTTATGTATGGTCAGTATCAATTTATGTATGGTCAGTATCAAGTTATGTATGATCAGTATCAAGTTATGTATGGTCAGTATCAAGTTATGTATGGACAGTACCACGTTATGTATGGTCAGTATCGTGTTATGTATGGTCAGTATCGTGTTATGTATGGTCAGTATCAAGTTATGTATGGTCAGTATCAAGTTATGTATGGTCAGTACCACGTTATGTATGGTCAGTATCGTGTTATGTATGGTCAGTATCATGTTATGTATGGTCAGTATCAAGTTATGTATGGTCAGTATCATGTTATGTATGGTCAATATCAAGTTATGTATGGTCAGTATCAAGTTATGTATGGTCAGTATCATGTTATGTATGGTCAGTATCAAGTTAATGCAGAATTTAACTTACCTTCGTTTGAACTTTTTCGATTTCGACTTCTTGATTTGCTAGTGGAACCGGTTCCTGAAAAGAAATCAATTTTGTAATTTGATCGTAAAACAATGAGGAATGTGTGTAATCAGTGTCAAGTTATGTATGGTCAGTATCAATTTATGTATGGTCAGTATCATGTTATGTATGGTCAGTATCAAGTTATGTATGATCAGTATCACGTTATGTATGGTCAGTATCAAGCTATGTATGGTCAGTATCAAGTTATGTATGGTCAGTATCAAGTTATGTATGGTCAGCATCAAGTTATATGTGGTCAGTATCAAGTTATGAATGATCAGTATCATGATATGTATGGTCAGTACCACGTTATGTATGGTCAGTATCACGTTATGTATGGTCAGTATCAAGCTATGTATGATCAGTATCAAGCTATGTATGGTCAGTATCAAGCTATGTATGGTCAGTATCAAGCTATGTATGGTCAGTATCAAGTTATGTATGGTCAGTATCAAGTTATGTATGGTCAATATCAAGTTATATATGGTCAGTATCAAGTTATGTATGGTCAGTATCAAGTTATGTATGGTCAGTATCACGTTATGTATGGTCAGTATCAAGCTATGTATGGTCAGTATCAAGTTATGTATGATCAGTATCAAGCTATGTATGGTCAGTATCAAGCTATGTATGGTCAGTATCAAGTTATGTATGGTCAGTATCAAATTATGTATGATCAGTATCAAGCTATGTATGGTCAGTATCAAGTTATGTATGGTCAGTATCAAGTTATGTATGGTCAGTATCAAGTTATGTATGGTCAATATCAAGTTATATATGGTCAGTATCAAGTTATATATGGTTAGTATCATGTTATGTATGGTGAGTATCAAGTTATGTATGGTCAGCATCAAATTATGTATGGTCAGTATCATGTTATGTATGGTCATTAGCACGTTATGTATGGTCAGTATCAAGTTATGTATGGTCAGTAGCACGTTATGTATGATCAGTATCAAGCTATGTATGGTCAGTATCAATTTATGTATGATCAGTATCAATTTATGTATGGTCAGTATCATGTTATGTATTGTCAGTATCAATTTATGTATGGTCAGCATCATGTTATGTTTAGTCAGTATCAAGTTATGTATGGTCAGTATCATGTTGTGTTTAGTCAGTATCATGTTATGTATGATCATTATCAATTTATGTATGGTCAGTATCAAGTTATGTATGGTCAGTATCAAGTTATGTATGGTCAGTATCAAGTTATGTATGGTCAGTATCATGTTGTGTTTAGTCAGTATCATGTTATGTATGATCATTATCAATTTATGTATGGTCAGTATCAAGTTATGTATGGTCAGTATCAAGTTATGTATGGTCATTATCAAATTATGTATGGTCAGTATCAAGTTATGTATGGTCAGTATCAAGTTATGTATGGTCAGTATCAAGTTATGTATGATCAGTATCAAGTTATGTATGGTCAGTACCACGTTATATATGGTCAGTATCGTGTTATGTATGGTCAGTATCGTGTTATGTATGGTCAGTATCAAGTTATGTATGGTCAGTATCAAGTTATGTATGGTCAGTACCACGTTATGTATGGTCAGTATCGTGTTATGTATGGTCAGTATCAAGTTATTTATGGTCAGTATCAAGTTATGTATGGTCAGTATCAAGTTATGTATGGTCAGTATCAAGTTAATGCAGAATTTAACTTACCTTCGTTTGAACTTTTTCGATTTCGACTTCTTGATATGCTAGTGGAACTGGTTCCTGAAAAGAAATCAATTTTGTAATTTGATCGTAAAACAATGAGGAATGTGTGTAATCAGTGTCAAGTTATGTATGGTCAGTATCAATTTATGTATGGTCAGTATCATGTTATGTATTGTCAGTATCAATTCATGTATGGTCAGCATCAAGCTATGTATGGTCAGTATCATGTTATGTATGGTCAGTATCAAGTTATGTATGGTCAGTATCAAGTTATGTATGGTCAGTACCATGTTACGTATGGTCAGCATCAAGTTATGTATGGTCAGCATCAAATTATATATGGTCAGTATCATGTTATGTATGATCATTATCAAGTTATGTATGGTCAGTATCAAGTTATGTATGGTTAGTATCATGTTATGTATGGTGAGTAGCACGTTATGTATGGTCAGTATCAAGTTATGTATGGTCAGTATCAAGTTATGTATGGTCAGTATCATGTTATGTATGGTCAGTATCAAGTTATGTATGGTCAGTATCATGTTATGTATGGTCAATATCAAGTTATGTATGGTCAGTATCAAGTTATATATGGTCAGTATCAAGTTATGTATGGTCAATATCAAGTTATGTATGGTCAGTATCATGTTATGTATGGTCAGTATCATGTTATGTATGGTCAGTATCAAGTTATGTATGGTCAGTATTATGTTATGTATGGTCAATATCAAGTTATGTATGGTCAGTATCAAGTTATATATGGTCAGTATCAAGTTATGTATGGTCAGTATCAAGTTATGTATGGTCAGTATCATGTTGTGTATGGTCAGTATCAAGTTATATATGGTCAGCATCAAGTCATTTATGGTCAGTATCAAGTTATGTATGATCAGTTTCAATTTATGTATGGTCAGTATCAAGTTATGTATGGTCAGTATCAAGTTATGTATGATCAGTATCAAGTTATGTATGGTCAGTATCAAGTTATGTATGGTCAGTACCACGTTATGTATGGTCAGTATCGTGTTATGTATGGTCAGTATCAAGTTATATATGGTCAGTATCAAGCTATGTATGGTCAGTATCAAGTTATGTATGGTCAGTATCAAGTTTTATATGGTCAATATCAAGTTATATATGGTCAGTATCAAGTTATGTATGGTCAGTATCAAGGTATGTATGGTCAGTATCAAGTTATGGATGGTCAGTATCAAGTTATGTATGGTCAGTATCATGTTATGTATGCTCAGTATCAAGTTAATGGAGAATTTAACTTACCTTCGTTTGAACTTTTTCGATTTCGACTTCTTGATTTGCTAGTGGAACCGGTTCCTGAAAAGAAATCAATTTTGTAATTTGATCGTAAAACAATGAGGAATGTGTGTAATCAGTGTCAAGTTATGTATGGTCAGTATCAATTTATGTATGGTCAGTATCATGTTATGTATTGTCAGTATCAATTTATGTATGGTCAGCATCAAGCTATGTATGGTCAGTATCAATTATGTATGGTCAGTATCATGTTATGTATGGTCAGTATCAAGTTATGTATGGTCAGTATCATGTTGTGTATGGTCAGTATCAAGTTATATATGGTCAGCATCAAGTCATTTATGGTCAGTATCAAGTTATGTATGGTCAGCATCAAGTTATATGTGGTCAGTATCAAGTTATGAATGATCAGTATCATGATATGTATGGTCAGTATCACGTTATGTATGGTCAGTATCAAGTAATGTATGGTCAGCATCAAGTTATATGTGGTCAATATCAAGTTATGTATGGTCAGCATCAAGTTATATGTGGTCAGTATCAAGTTATGAATGGTCAGTATCATGTTATGTATGGTCAGTATCAAGTTATTTATGGTCAGTATCAAGTTATGTATGGTCAGCATCAAGTTATATGTGGTCAGTTTCAAGTTATGAATGGTCAGTATCAGGTTATGTATGGTCAATATCAAGTTATGTATGGTCAGTATCAAGTTATTTATGGTCATTATCAAGTAATGTATGGTCAGCATCAAGTTATTTATGGTCAGCATCAAGTTATATGTGGTCAGTATCAAGTTATATGTGGTCAGTATCAAGTTATGAATGGTCAGTATCAAGTTATGTATGGTCAGTATCAAGTTATGTATGGTCAGTATCATGTTATGTATGGTCAGTATCATGTTATGTATGGTCAGTATCAAGTTATATGTGGTCAGTATCAAGTTATTTATGGTCAGCATCAAGTTATATGTGGTCAGTATCAAGTTATGAATGGTCAGTATCAGGTTATGTATGGTCAATATCAAGTTATGTATGGTCAGTATCAAGTTATGTATGGTCAGTATCAAGTTATGTATGGTCAGTATCAGGTTATGTATGGTCAATATCAAGTTATGTATGGTCAGTATCAAGTTATTTATGGTCAGTATCAAGTTATATATGGTCAGCATCAAGTTATATGTGGTCAGTATCAAGTTATGTATGGTCAGTATCAAGTTATGTATGGTCAGTATCATGTTATGTATGGTCAGTATCATGTTATGTATGGTCAGTATCAAGTTATATGTGGTCAGTATCAAGTTATTTATGGTCAGCATCAAGTTATATGTGGTCAGTATCAAGTTATGAATGGTCAGTATCAGGTTATGTATGGTCAATATCAAGTTATGTATGGTCAGTATCAAGTTATGTATGGTCAGTATCAAGTTATGTATGGTCAGTATCAGGTTATGTATGGTCAATATCAAGTTATGTATGGTCAGTATCAAGTTATTTATGGTCAGTATCAAGTTATGTATGGTCAGCATCAAGTTATATGTGGTCAGTATCAAGTTATGTATGGTCAGTATCAAGTTATGTATGGTCAGTATCAAGTTATATGTGGTCAGTATCAAGTTATGTATGGTCAGTATCAAGTTATGAATGGTCAGTATCAGGTTATGTATGGTCAATATCAAGTTATGTATGGTCAGTATCAAGTTATTTATGGTCAGTATCAAGTTATATATGGTCAATATCAAGTTATGTATGGTCAGTATCAAGTTATATGTGGTCAGTATCAAGTTATGTATGGTCAGTATCAAGTTATGTATGGTCAGTATCAAGTTATATGTGGTCAGTATCAAGTTATGTATGGTCAGTGTCTTGGTTTTCGAGTGGAATTAGAGCATGAAACAAATGATACAGTTTAGTAAGTTGGTTGTAATGCCAGTTTGATATTGTCATTGCCATCCCTCCCATTTCAGACCTACCTTGGCCCTGGGAACCTCTCATCTCCATCACTGACTGCTGACCACGTTACATCGCTATCTGGACCAGTGTAGATATTATTTGTCCCTTGAACGCGGACGCATGTGGTGGTGAGTCGGTGATTCATTTGACCATGTAATGACGCGTCAGGGTGTTATTACTTCCTTAGCTGATATATACGTGTGTAGTGGAAGGGATACAGAGGTGTCTACCAACAGGAACAGGACAAGAGATACAGCTTATTTGTGTCGAATATATAATCAAAGTGAAAATTGTCATTTCGTATGTATGGAGAACTCTCCATACACTCGCACTATTGTGTATAAAAATCACGACAGACTGTTGGCAACGAGTACTGGTCAAGACTTGTAAAATCAATATAGTTCGGTAAAGAAATTAATAAGTTGCTTTTAAAGCGTTTTTAACTTTCAGTAGTCTATAACTAACATCCCACCATGCACTTATATAACACTTATACCTTTCTACAACTATAGCGTACTATTACTTCAACCTGTCAATATCTATCATCGATCTATTTCTACCAACTTTCTCTGCCTACCACTTGTGTGTATATGCTTCCTGTCTCTGCCTACCACTTGTATGTGTCTGCTTCCTGTCTCTGCCTACCACTTGTATGTATCTACTTTCTGTCTATGCCTACCACTTGTATGTATCTACTTTCTGTCTATGCCTACCACTTGTATGTATCTACTTTCTGTCTATGCCTACCACTTGTATGTATCTGTTACATGTCTCTGCCTACCACTTGTGTGTGTCTGCTTCCTGTCTCTGCCTACCACTTGTATGTATCTGTTACATGTCTCTGCCTACCACTTGTGTGTGTCTGCTTCCTGTCTCTGCCTACCACTTGTATGTATCTGTTACATGTCTCTGCCTACCACTTGTGTGTGTCTGCTTCCTGTCTCTGCCTACCACTTGTGTGTGTTTGCTTCCTGTCTCTGCCTACCACTTGTACGTATCTGCTTCCTGTCTATGCCTACCACTTGTATGTATATGTTACCTGTCTCTGCCTACTACTTGTATGTATCTACTACCTGTCTCTACCTACCACTTGTATGTATCTGCTTCCTGTCTCTGCCTACCACTTGTATGTATCTGCTTTCTGTATATAACTGTCACCTGTCTCCAACTACTACCTGTCTGTACCTAAATTCTATCTATAACTACAACCTGTCTATAATAACCACCTGTCTATAACTACCATCTATCTATAAATACCGCCTTATCTATGTCTACTACCTGTCTATAACTGTCACCCTCTATAACTACCACCTGTCTATAACTACCACCTGTCTATATCTACCACCTGTCTATAACTACCAGCTGTCTATAACTACCACCTGTCTATATCTACAACCTGTCTATAACTACCAGCTGTCTATAACTTCCACCTGTCTTTAACTACACTTGTCTAAAACTACCATCTGTCTATAACTGCAACCTGTCTATATCTATCACTTTTCTATACCTACAACCTGTCTATATCTCACACCTGTCTATAACTACCATCTGTTTATAACTACCACCTGTCTATACCTACCACCTGTCTTTAACTACCACCTGTCTATATCTATCACCTGTTTATATCTACCTCCTGTCTATAACTACCACCTGTCCATAATTAGCTGTCAATAATTAGTTATAATATTCATAAGCAACACAATAGATTACCAATACATACTAACAATGGACGCCCTTCTCACATTGTTGAACGCACGCGAAGAAATGTAATTATGTAACGGATGCGTGGCAGCGAATATCGTCGGAACCTGTACATAAATACCTGTAATTGAGCCGTATGTAACGATAGAAAACGTTATGCTGAGTAAGAAGAAAAAAACAATTGTATATTTTTTTTCAACAAATGTATGGTAATGTATATTCTATGACATGTACGTCTCTCGTTCAGTCCTTCAGCTATGATGAGTCATTTCGTAAAACCCGGAAAGCCATTTCCGATAAGGCATGAAACATCTACCGATCTCAAGTTTTAAGAGTCTACACACATTAGCCGATATATGACTACAAGCTGGATACAGTAACACGCGAGTACAAAAATCATACATCGACAATGGCTACATAAATACAGTAATAATGACTACAGATATCATACCGTAACCATGACTATACAAGTCATACAGTAACCATGACTACACAAGTCATACAGCAACTATGACTATACAAGTCATACAGCAACTATGACTATACAAGTCACACAGTAACCATGATTATACATACAGTAATCTTGACTACACAAGTCATACAGTCACCATGACTACACAAGTCATACAGTCACCATGACTACACAAGTCATACAATAACCATGACTACACAAGTCATACAGTCACCATGACTACACAAGTCATACAGTAACCATGACTACACAAGTCATACAGTAACCATGACTACACAAGTCATACAGTAACCATGACTACACAAGTCATACAGTATCCATGACTATACAAGTCATACAGTAACCATGACTACACAAGTCATACAGTCACCATGACTACACAAGTCATACAGTAACCATGATTATACTAATATCAATACGGTATCAATTTGGACTGCTTTGAACTAGATGACCTTTAAACCTGAGACATAGTGACCAACTCTTGCAGCCTAATATCTACAGGAGTCCTGATAACACATAACAAGATAACAAAAGAATATTATAGATACTGAATCGATAGAATAACTGCCTTGGATGTGAGATAGGTGGATCACAACACATAGGGAAAGATGATAAAGTTAGCAAACACGAGGCTTACCGAGGGTTGAGATCACCTCACAAAAACAAGGTTTGAATGATTATTTATCTCTAATACTGTTGGCTTTATAATGTATTCGTAGATGTTTTTGTTGTCCCAATGCTTCGAATCGTTAATGTGATTTAATTGTGACGTAAAGTCAGTGATTTGTTTATTGTGACGTCATATCATTGTCCTGACAGAGGGGAATCCCCCGTCTAAATCCTAGGATGAGACAAGGAAACCTCACGCTGGTAAAAAGCGTGAGATTTACCATACCAAATCTACTTATATCCTAATATTTTGGGACTTGAACTGCAAACAACTCAACATGCGAACAAGTAATTTTTTGTCAGGAATAATCACCCAGATTTCTTGGCGAAGATCAGAGACTGTTACTATTTTCAACATGTCCTTGAACCAACCCGTGACAGGGAAGGGCGACAACAAAGTTACATACGTGACCTCATAGTTACAAACGAAGAAGGAATTATTGCCATCTTGAAATGGTTTAGGCCTTAGCGTCTAGGTGACTTTGTAATTTGATTCCATCGCTTAAACAGAACTTATTCAAGGAATGAAAAAGTGTCCATGCCCAATTATATATGTATAGAACAACTATCTGTAATGACTTGGTAAAAAAAACGACCCGGAGGAAACTGAAAAATCCAATTTCTCGGAATTTCTTGGAAGCAGGGGAAGTTCTCCATTAACTCGTATGCAAGGAAATTAATGCTGCCTTTCAGGAACCGCCATGAAAACTACCTTAAACTATGCATCAACAGGACGTCGAAGGCAAGGTGCATGAGACAAATGTGGACAAAATATCTTCTTCTGTTCTCTGTTTGGTTAATGTAAGATGATGATGATGATGATGATGATTAGGAGTGCTTTGCTTTCTGTCTTGTACATGTATATATCAAATGAAAAATCTTTGAAAAATTCCCCTCACCCCCCACTCCCCCCAAAAAAAAACAAAAAAAAAAAAAAAAACAAAAATGTTGTTTTTATCTATTTAATTCTCCACTACGACGAGTTAAATGTACATACAAGATTTTCAGAATTTAGACTACTCGTAACATTACACACTCAAACAAGGAAAAGGACTTTGCTAACAAGATTAAACCCAAACTTCTGGAAATATATCCGATCTAAAACAGTATCGACAATCAACACAATTAGAAAACCCTTCTGATAATTTAGCACCAACACCTGAGGATATAGCTAACACTGTAAATGACTATGTTGTTAATGTCTTTGTTAGGAAGGGAGACTACCTAACTCTTGGGATATTGCAAGACGTTTCTCTATTTTTAAAGATTGCTCAAGGAAAGATCCGAGAAACTATTGGCCGATTTAATTAATGTCGCTACCAAACAAGATGTTACAATGAATAATCAGAGACTAAATTTAAAGACTTTGAAAAAGTTAGTAACAGACTTCTGCTACAAAAACTAAACACCACGGAATCAAAGGAAGACTAACTGGTAAAGAACATAGGGTCAAACAAGGGTCATACATTGTTGGCACAACCTTCTGTAACAAGTGGTGTCCCACAAGGAATCGTTCTAGGACCACCTATTTACATAAAAACAATGCAGGTGACACAAATATCCCAAGTTAGTGAAAGTGCCCTAAGATAATGTCGCCTGAGGTTTAGCAAACCCAGCTTCTAACGCCGTCTCAAGTCAAGTTTACATTCGACCGATCACACAATCTCCCCAGGGATTGGCTAAAACTTTCAGAAAACAAGCTTTCTATTCAACAACAAGGATTTCAAAAGAACCTCAGGTGTGAAACCGTTGCATCTAACCTCAGCGAATGTATATATTCCAATATCGAAAAACATGATAATGTCTTTGATACTCACAAAGCGTTCGACATAGTTTGCCATACGGGACTCCTTCGAAAAATATATGACTTTGGCAGAAGAGGACACACGTTAGAAATTAACTGGTATACCGATATATCAAGTGCCTTCATGACCCACGAAATCCGCTCTCGGTGGTTTCCGGTCCAATCCGGAATTAGGCAAGGAGGAGTGACATCAACATTTCTGAACCTGCGTTAATATGAAGAGAAACTGTTTGCGAGAAATGTAAAGAACTATATATTTACCCTATTATGCAATTTGTAGCTAATTGTGATGTCATCAGAGGGGTCAGAAATAAATCCATGGAACAAGTTATAATGTGATATGGATCAGAGGTGTACTCTAACATCAATAAAGACTCTCACGAACATTTCCTAAGAACATTATTTGGAATTAACTCTCTGCTGTTGAAAGCTCTCTTTGAATCAGACGAAAAATACCTTTTTTAAGACATTTTACCTGGTATTATAGAGAGTGAAAAAAAATGCTACAATAGCCCCGCGATAGACAGTCTACAACGTCACAGTTATACTGTAATATATCCGTAACTTGCAAAATTACCTCACTTCTGTACATAATGTACATTTCTTCATTTTGTAATCTCACTTATGAGGAACATAAGAACTGCTTGATTGATGATTATGATAATTGTGTTTAAATCTTTTGATGTATTGAATATCTAAGCTAAAATATATGTCGCTTCTCGATAACTCATATGATGTTGATATGAAACGTTCATGCATGAGTCAAACTACGATTTCGTTGAGTTTTAATAATTTTTCGTTTAACGTACTGAAATTTCTAATATTGAATGTATTGTAATCATGTTCAGTGGGTTGGTTGTCATCGGAATACACATAAAGAAGTTGTGGTTTTCAAGCTTAAATTTCAAAAGTCAACAAGGAGAAATGGTTGACATGATATTACTGAGTGTTAGATTGTAACAGGTAGGCCCTACATTGTCGAATAAGTAGTTATATCTATGTCATCAGGCCGGTAGGTGTGTTTGACAGCTACCGAAACGACTGATTGTTTCAGATTTCTGTTTAAAGACATAATTCACAAAAATCATGAATCACAAAAGACAGAAATACCGCAGATTTGATAAGAAATATTTTTATTCAGTAATCATTGTCGGACAAATATCATAGTTGATATGACCGGGTGTTGTATTTTATTCCAAATTTTTGTATGTAGCTCAAGCTTGTATTTGTGTTTTGTTTGATCCTAAACCCCATTCTGTTAACAATATATATATATAATGTGCGATTTCTGTTAAATTTGTTAGTGGGGATGGTATATTGTCACAGGTTGGGCTTATCTCGCTCATCCTGACCGGAAGTTGTACCGGTAATACTGAACGTCATCCTAATATGACCCTATCACGTAAAATTGAGTGTGGGGTATATGTAAAATCATCATGGCCTCTGTTGTGTGTTACATTGTCTTTCTGGTTACACTTATACTAGGTAAGTTATATACCGTTCTTTATTACGTCTGAGATAAACTATTTTGTTTGGTGGATTGCTACTATATACATGTTACATTGTCTGTGGGCTTATAATTGTCGATAAGAGATTAATATATACATTGTACAATGTATATTTTCTACAGAATTAATTTCCTATATTTTACAAATTATGTAATACTCTGTACTTGGCAATGTATATATTACACTGTAAGTCTTAGTCATACAATACAGAAGACTTACACTAGATATAGTTAATACACTGCACTTGTTACATCTGTTAACGGGGTTAGAGTTAAGTCTATCGCCAGCTGATCGGTAGAAAAATGAACGAGTTACCGAGATCTTCAGTGATCAGTTTGATTTGGGGCTTTTGATTATTTATTTGTGAGAAGATTTCTCCATCATTTGTAAATTAACCTTAACGAGAGTGGAGTCTCACCTTCTTCAATTATCCTCGTTGTCATTTGCGACAAAGTTGACAGTTGGCTGAGAGATTCAGCAGCTTATGTGTGTTCAATGTCACTAACACAACATGATGCAAATATTGATTGAGAATATTGGGGGTTGTTAACAATGCTTTAGTTTGTCAAATACCGATGTGAAGAATCAAATTTTGCTGATAGTTTATTCAACACGAAAAAAATATAAAACTTTGAGAAGACGGCGTCCTCTTTACTTCCATGGAGGTAAAATCAGGCTGGTTTATTGTACCATAAAGCATTGAGCATAGGATCTTGGGTTTTACCGCTTTTTATGACGCTGTTGTTCAAAGGCTGGTTAGAGATAACCATTGGTAAGTGAAAATTTTCAACAATGAATTAAACAAAATTGAGAAAATTCTGTATCATTGACCAGTTATAGTTTGATGAAACATGTCGGACTGGTTTATTTTGAGTGTTGATTTTGCCTTTAATTTTCTTGTTTGTTCAGTGGCACCAATTGTAATTTTTCACAAACCTCTGGTAACTTTCTTGTTTGTTCAGTGGCACCAATTGTAATTTTTCACAAACCTCTGGTAACTTTCTTGTTTGTTCAGTGGCACCAATTGTAATTTTTCACAAACCTCTGGTAACTTTCTTGTTTGTTCAGTGGCACCAATTGTAATTTTTCACAAACCTCTGGTAACTTTCTTGTTTGTTCAGTGGCACCAATTGTAATTTTTCACGAACCTCTGGTAACTTTCTTGTTTGTTCAGTGGCACCCATTTTAATTTTTCACAAACCTCTGGTAACTTTCTTGTTTGTTCAGTGGCACCAATTGTAATTTTTCACAAACCTCTGGTAACTTTCTTGTTTGTTCAGTGGCACCAATTGTAATTTTTCACGAACCTCTGGTAACTTTCTTGTTTGTTCAGTGGCACCAATTGTAATTTTTCACGAACCTCTGGTAACTTTCTTGTTTGTTCAGTGGCACCAATTGTAATTTTTCACGAACCTCTGGTAACTTTCTTGTTTGTTCAGTGGCAGCAATTGTAATTTTTCACGAACCTCTGGTAACTTTCTTGTTTGTTCAGTGGCACCCATTTTAATTTTTCACAAACCTCTGGTAACTTTCTTGTTTGTTCAGTGGCACCAATTGTAATTTTTCACGAACCTCTGGTAACTTTCTTGTTTGTTCAGTGGCACCAATTTTAATTTTTCACAAACCTCTGGTAACTTTCTTGTTTGTTCAGTGGCACCAATTGTAATTTTTCACGAACCTCTGGTAACTTTCTTGTTTGTTCAGTGGCACCAATTGTAATTTTTCACGAACCTCTGGTAACTTTCTTGTTTGTTCAGTGGCACCAATTGTAATTTTTCACGAACCTCTGGTAACTTTCTTGTTTGTTCAGTGGCACCAATTGTAATTTTTCATGAACCTCTGGTAACTTTCTTGTTTGTTCAGTGGCACCAATTGTAATTTTTCACAAACCTCTGGTAACTTTCTTGTTTGTTCAGTGGCACCAATTGTAATTTTTCACAAACCTCTGGTAACTTTCTTGTTTGTTCAGTGGCACCAATTTTAATTTTTCACAAACCTCTGGTAACTTTCTTGTTTGTTCAGTGGCACCAATTGTAATTTTTCACAAACCTCTGGTAACTTTCTTGTTTGTTCAGTGGCACCAATTGTAATTTTTCACAAACCTCTGGTAACTTTCTTGTTTGTTCAGTGGCACCAATTTTAATTTTTCACAAACCTCTGGTTAACTCTAACTAAGCTTTGAGCAATTAGTATACAAATAAATGTATAACATGCTCGCTATTCACATATTCTTGATGTTTTGAGTTCAGGTGAAATCTCTGCCGTGCGGTTCAGATACACCGGTTACCGATATTCCTACTACAGTACCCGATATTACTATGGTGGCTACAGATATTATTACAGTGGCTACAGATATTACTACAGTGGGTCGTAAGTACTGATACTACAGCGGATATAGCTACTACTACAGGGGGACGTAAGTACTGATACTACAGCTACTATTACAGGGGGTCGTAAGTACTGATACTACAGCGGATATATTGACAATTACAGTGGGTCGTAAGTACTAATACTATAGCGGATGTAGCTATTATTACAGGGGGACGTAATTACTGATACTACAGCGGATATAGCTACTATTACAGGGGGACGTAAGTACTGATACTACAGCGGATATAGCTACTACTACAGGGGGACGTAATTACTGATACTACAGCGGATATAGCTACTACCACAGGGGGACGTAAGTACTGATACTACAGCTACTACTACTGGGGGACGTAAGTACTTATACTACAGCGGATATAGCTACTATTACAGGGGGACGTACTTATACTACAGCGGATATAGCTACTACTACAGGGGGACGTAATTACTGATACTACAGCGGATATAGCTACTATTACAGGGGGACGTAAGTACTTATACTACAGCGGATATAGCTACTATTACAGGGGGACGTAAGTACTGATACTACAGCGGATATAGCTACTACTACAGGGGGACGTAAGTACTGATACTACAGCGGATATAGCTACTATTACAGGGGGACGTAAGTACTTATACTACAGCGGATATAGCTACTATTACAGGGGGACGTAAGTACTTATACTACAGCGGATATAGCTACTACTACAGGGGGACGTAATTACTGATACTACAGCGGATATAGCTACTATTACAGGGGGACGTAAGTACTTATACTACAGCGGATATAGCTACTACTACAGGGGGACGTAAGTACTGATACTACAGCGGATATAGCTACTACTACAGGGGGACGTAAGTACTGATACTACAGCGGATATAGCTACTACTACAGGGGGACGTAAGTACTGGTACTACAGCGGATATAGCTACTATTACAGGGGGACGTAAGTGCTGATACTACAGCTACTACTACAGGGGGACGTAAGTACTGATACTACAGCGGATATAGCTACTATTACAGGGGGACGTAAGTACTGATACTACAGCGGATATAGCTACTACTACAGGGGGACGTAAGTGCTGATACTACAGCTACTACTACAGGGGGACGTAAGTACTGATACTACAGCGGATATAGCTACTACTACAGGGGGACGTAAGTACTGGTACTACAGCGGATATAGCTACTACTACAGGGGGACGTAAGTACTGATACTACAGCGGATATAGCTACTACTACAGGGGGACGTAAGTACTGGTACTACAGCGGATATAGCTACTATTACAGGGGGACGTAAGTGCTGATACTACAGCTACTACTACAGGGGGACGTAAGTACTGATACTACAGCGGATATAGCTACTATTACAGGGGGACGTAAGTACTGATACTACAGCTACTACTACTGGGGGGACGTAAGTGCTGATACTACAGCGGATATAGCTACTACTACAGGGGGACGTAAGTACTGGTACTACAGCGGATATAGCTACTACTACAGGGGGACGTAAGTACTGGTACTACAGCGGATATAGAGAATACTACACGGGGACGTAAGTACTGATACTACAGCTACTACTACAGGGGGACGTAAGTACTGGTACTACAGCGGATATAGCTACTACTACACGGGGACGTAAGTACTGATATTTCAGTCCATACCGCTAAAACTACAGAGTTTTACTTCAGTGGATATAGTTACTATTAGGAGAGCAGTTTTTAGGCGCGTACACTTATAACTTTAAAAGCTGAGAAAGGACATATCAAAAGAGATGCCTCCCTTTCTATACATGTAACCTTTGAAAATCTTGTGGTTCACCCATTCGGTGCTCTCGTTCATTCATGATTAGTCGCTTGATCACACAATGTGATCAAACGCAGCATTATATTTTTTAAATGTGATATTTCAAGGGTGCTTAGATTTTATCTTCAGTTTTCAGTCACTAAGTCAGCAACATAAAAACAATACTTGAGTGTGTTTTTATTCAAAAGCTTGAAAGCAGCGATATTAGATACTAAAAGCAGCTAGGGAAGTATGATATTAAGTAATTTCACGTGAAATGGGAAATGAAAAGATAATATGATTTCGTAGAAGTGGTAATAACAGGGTGCAATCATCTTGATCATAATACTGACCAATAAAATTGTTTACCACATTCCTGGTATGTCTTATTTCGACTTCACAAAACCAATTCGGGCTTTGAATAGACTCTCTGTTGGCGTAGCATTTGCAGAGAGCAAGAGTCAGATTGAACGAAATAATCAAACCGGAAAAAGATCTATGGTTATCTATTCTCGTTCAACCAAATTCTATAACTTTTTAAAAAAAAAAATTAGAGTGAAAGCAGTGTAATGAATTGAGAGATTTTTTATATACTTAGCTATAGTTGTGATTATTCTGTGTTGGTAGAACATATGGAGGAAGAATTGCGGGAATTGTCATCGGTTGTCTGATCTTCACCGGCATTATCATCGCCGTTATCGTCACTGCGTGTGTGTTGTGTAGGAGGAGAAGGACAAGAGGCAGACTCATCACTCCGGCCGTCTTCTCTCCAAATACTACTTCCGGTATTACATGGCTACCCGCTGTATCTGGACCGGGGTCGGATTCTGTCCGATACCATCCATCAAGGGCAATTATAGAGCCAAAGAATAGATTCTTAGCATATTTCACCACCTGTTCGTAAAAGGCGACTAAAATTAGGCTCCCTGTAGATCGGGGAATTTCATCCATGACATCAACTAAAGGAATATTGGTGAAGAAACTAAAACAGATCTGCTGTCCTCATTGCAACACTTAGGATCTAGATATCTCCTATTTTCTCTGACCCCTGTCCGCTCTCTGTTCCCGTGTTTTATTTTCCACTCGTTGGCGAGTTCGTTAAACCCCATAAAATCATAGTTTGTAATTACGTATGTAACAACTACATTATTGGGTGTTTATTGACGTTTATACAACGGTGTTTCATTCATCCTTTACTACATTCAAATGTGACTCCTGTTTCACTGCTTTTTGGCGTGTGTATGACGCCCTTTTTTTCTTGCATTTTGACGTACATATGTATATGTGACACATTTTTGGTATCATTGTGTGACCTTTGTGACGCCTGTTGCACTGTATTGTGACGTGCATTTTAAATGTGACGCGTTTATTTTTTTCAGTGACGATGACAGCCATTCCACAGGGCAACGCGTCCACATTAGGGGCAGGACCTCCTCTCACTACCTACACAAATAATCTGGCAGACATAATTCCAAATTCACAAGGCACTGTGACCGCCTCAACAGAAAACAGTGGAGAGAAGAGTGGACAGTTACCACCATCTTACGACACGGTCGTTGGGGCACCCATTGCTACCATACCTCCCAATTCCGGTCCTCCTGGATACGTCTCCTCCCAAACGGATGTTGCAAGCGCTGACAGATTGTAACAGGATGTAGTCACAGCGATCACATTTGTTTCTATTCTATTGAAATTTATAAGGATAACTGTATTTTCACCATATTTCCTGATTTTAGTATGATTTTCGCGAATACCCTTGAAATACTGTTATTTATAACATTTCATATCGTCACTCTATAAATTTCCATCATACAGTTATAGACTAACATAATATTTCTTCCGGGTATAATCGTTTTATCATCACACTTGTAGTAGTAAGGACAATGACAAATGGGTTGACTCAGCTTTTAGCTCCTAGTGACGATTGCTCCGCCATTTTTCTACATGGAAAGTTTCACGAGTCGAGAACTTGCAGTCCAGTACTCTCGTCCTCGAAAATGACCACGACCAAGTTTTTTTGTCTCCAAGGAAGCACCTCATTCTTCTATACTAATACACGTTGAGTATTATACGGCTCGGAATCTATAATGGAAGAGGGTATGACTCTCGAACTGGTAACCTCTCGATATTTAACTTCCCGCCAGCTCATGTAAATAAAATTGTTACTAATCATGTAACAGTTATTTCTGTAAATAATGCCATCTTTCCTTCGTTTTTTTACTGTACATTACATTATTGTCGATGTAAGTTATTTTTCACGTTTTGTCCATATGTCGGTACACAAAGGTAAGAAAGTAAATACAAACAAGTGATATGCACAATCAAACAGAAGATGCGCATCGTCTATGGCACTGCACGTCGCTTTGTCATTATGTGGAATATTTTAGTGTGCCCGTCATCTAATTTTGTTTAAATATCCTCATTAAAACAGATACAGAAATGATTTCATTTTTATGAATGTCGAGACAAATGATTCACAGCAGCCTATCATTGCTATGGTTTTCTTGTCTGGTACAAATCAACTATCATTACTATGTGTGTTCTAGTGTATTTCCAAGGATTCTGACAATCTATCTTATTCTTGTTTGTGTTAATACCGAATACGACACAGACAAAAATGACATCGTGGATTATTCAGAAAAGCATTCGGGCTGGGTCTTCGGAAATCGCAGAACAAAAAAAATAACCAAAACACCATCTGATTAATAACTTCCAAGAAAACAAAAAAATACTGATCGCCTAAAACGTAGGAAAATATCGCATTACAATAATAAATACACAGAACATTCCATAATGTACCCGATATCACGACAAAGCCCTGAACTTTCATTTGAATTTTAGTCTCGAACCATTGTGCTACATTTTTGTGACTTTCAGTATCGAAATAAAATATCCAAGTAGATACACTGTACAAACTTAATATAATAAAAATATAACCGGCAAGTCTATCATCATTTTCCAGAAAACTATTTCTACTGTACTATCGTTCGCTCTATAACTCCCTGTCATTGTCCCCCTCCGGTACCCCGTGTTATGTACCTGACAATTGACAGGTTATGTATATATATATACACCGTCATAAAAATATCGATACATCGGGTCGATACAAAAATAGTTCAGTCAAAACTCGGAAAAGTTTTTTTCATTATGTTTTAGACAAAATATCTCTTTTTCTAGATGACCCGATATCGGAAGAACCCCGTTTAACTCGAAGTGTGTTTTGTCGGTCCTTGTTGGCAAAATCTTCTCTTTAATCCCATAGTAATCAAAACTCGGAAAACTCGAATTCGGAAAACTCGAAAAACTCTGTTAATTCGAAGTAAAAATTTGGTCCCAACAACAAAACATATACTGAATATGATCGGAAAACTCGAAGTATAAATTTTGTGCCGATCAATTACATTGCTGATGCGCTACGCCGTTTTGCAATTTTACCGACAATAGGCTTTACAAGTGAATATTAATGTTCATGAGTAGTGAAAGTAGAAATATATATGTATATATCGACACAGCGAGAATATCGAATCATCGAAGATCGATTCAAACAACCCCGTGTTGTGTACTTGACGTTTGACAGGTTATGTATATATGTACTACTGTAATTAACAATATTCATGTTTTAGAAAAGTGTTTATTGTTATTTAATTGAATGATAAAAGGTAACCGTTAGATCTTATAATTGATAGATATCGGCGATAAAAAGTGAAGTTCTACTCACATTGCGTAATTTCCGTGTCAACGAAACAGTGAACATTGATAGTGATCGATAGTGTTAAGACTTTACGAACTGGAACTTGGTGTGCTTTCGCAAATAATGTATGACAATGGTGTTTTAATTATGGCCTTAAATTCGAAGACTAGTGCTTATAATGAATGTTCATTTACTTACAGTGCTTTGTAAGTCGACAGGTGTTATCGTAACTAACATGTTGTGTACATGCATACTCTTTAACTTGGTACCGACACTGTCCCCTCCGGTACCCCGTGTTGTGTACTTGACGTTTGACAGGTTATGTATATATGTACTTGGTACCGACACTGTCCCCTCCGGTACCCCGTGATGTGTACCTGACGTTTGACAGGTTATGTATATATATATACTTGGTACCGACACTGTCCCCTCCGGTACCCCGTGTTGGTATTTGACGTTTGACAGGTTATGTATATATGTACTTGGTACCGACACTGTCCCCTCCGGTACCTCGTGATGTGTACCTGACGTTTGACAGGTTATGTATATATATTTACTTGGTACCGACACTGTCCCCTCCGGTACCCCGTGTTATGTACCTGACGTTTGACAGGTTATGTATATATGTACTTGGTACCGACACTGTCCCCTCCGGTACCCCGTGTTGGTATTTGACGTTTGACAGGTTATGTATATATGTACTTGGTACCGACACTGTCCCCTCCGGTACCCCGTGTTGGTATTTGACGTTTGACAGGTTATGTATATATGTACTTGGTACCGACACTGTCCCCTCCGGTACCCCGTGTTGGTATTTGACGTTTGACAGGTTATGTATATATATACTTGGTACCGACACTGTCCCCTCCGGTACCCCGTGTTATGTACCTGACGTTTGACAGGTTATGTATATATATACTTGGTACCGACACTGTCCCCTCCGGTACCCCGTGTTGTGTACCTGACGTTTGACAGGTTATGTATATATGTACTTGGTACCGACACTGTCCCGTGTTGGTATTTGACGTTTGACAGGTTATGTATATATGTACTTGGTACCGACACTGTCCCCTACGGTATCCCGTGTTGGTATTTGACGTTTGACAGGTTATGTATATATATCCTTGGTACCGACACTGTCCCCTCCGGTACCCCGTGTTGTGTACCTGACGTTTGACAGGTTATGTATATATGTACTTGGTACCGACACTGTCCCCTCCGGTACCCCGTGTTGGTATTTGACGTTTGACAGGTTATGTATATATGTACTTGGTACCGACACTGTCCCCTCCGGTACCTCGTGATGTGTACCTGACGTTTGACAGGTTATGTATATATATTTACTTGGTACCGACACTGTCCCCTCCGGTATCCCGTGTTATGTACCTGACGTTTTACAGGTTATGTATATATGTACTTGGTACCGACACTGTCCCCTCCGGTACCCCGTGTTGGTATTTGACGTTTGACAGGTTATGTATATATGTACTTGGTACCGACACTGTCCCCTCCGGTACCCCGTGTTGGTATTTGACGTTTGACAGGTTATGTATATATGTACTTGGTACCGACACTGTCCCCTCCGGTACCCCGTGTTGGTATTTGACGTTTGACAGGTTATGTATATATGTACTTGGTACCGACACTGTCCCCTCCGGTACCCCGTGTTGGTATTTGACGTTTGACAGGTTATGTATATATGTACTTGGTACCGACACTGTCCCCTCCGGTACCCCGTGTTTGTATTTGACGTTTGACAGGTTATGTATATATGTACTTGGTACCGACACTGTCCCCTCCGGTACCCCGTGTTTGTATTTGACGTTTGACAGGTTATGTATATATGTACTTGTTACCGACACTGTCCCCTCCGGTACCCCGTGTTGTGTACCTGACGTTTGGCAGGATTTTGTACCTGACGTTTTACATATAATTTTTCTTACTTCTTGTAACATCGATATGCGACACTTAAATAAAATCAATTGTTTTGTGTATTGTATGGTAATGGGTACCTACATCGCGAAGACAATACAATCCTGTGGAGTCCTATCATTGTGGAGGATTGTACGCACGGCTGACTATCTCAATGAAGTCCCACTAATTAACCTGTCTGTTACTCCTTTTATTTAAGTACAACTATTCAAGAGAGGAGTATTATAATTATAAACATATATTCAACATGGCGCCCGGCGGTGCAGTATTCGTTTTCCTGTCATTCTGCATTGGTAAGTACGAAGACTTTTCTGTACACAGTTTACACTTGTATTAAGGTGTTTGTATTCGTGTAATCACTATATCAAACGATTCACACTGGCTTAGACACAAACAGGCCATTTAAACAGACATTAACGGAGTTATTTTGTTCCAATAGTGGAACTAAAGAGGCCGACGTGTGTGCGTCTACCGTAGGGGCCCATCTATCGTCCCGTTTACCGCCCTACATATTGGCAGACTTATCGAAACCAAAGATGCCGACCTATGTTTACATCTACTTAAGGACTTCAGGTCAGTCAACCGGCCCATACATAGGGAGAGTTCAGGCGCCCCACACAGCGATAGAGTTTGACGGTCAAGGAGTCTGACTTGTGGTCCTTTTTCTGCATCACACAAAGGCTATCTTAGGCGACGTGTTAGGAAATGACGTAAGATAGGTCCTAATAGTGCTATAAAATGATGTCATAATAGTAAGACTTGCGTTGTATAGTCTCTAGATAAAACTTAACAGCACAATGTGTGTATTTTCGATAAAGACGAATAATAATTAGGCATGCGTGAGTTTATCGTTTTGTAAGTCATTACATAAACTATATAATTATGTAGATGTGCGGTGGTTGGCTACATCCGTAAATGTTATTTAGATATGGTTCAAATGTGAAGAGACCTTTATAACATCTAGATGTAATGTTTGATACGTTGTGTTTGTATTCGTAAAATGTAAACCTTTTGTTCTTTTTAATCATTTGCTCTTTGTAGCCAAGCGATTTTTAGCTGCTGAAAAGTAAATACACTTCGACGCAGGTACAGAATATAATAATTAGGATTAAAATTAACACACCCTAAAAAATAAAAAAAAAGAAGAAGAATTTTAAAACAATAAAAAAACCAACAACAAACAACAACATATAACTTGATTGATTGGACACAATATCCTTTTTAAATAATATCTGAAAATGAAACATATCAATTGAATTGTCGGATTATATCTAATGTCAATATGAAAGTAATCTGTGTGACAGAGACATTAACTCACTTTTACGCCATTTTAATCATCGATTCCTCTCTGAATCATTATGATATTGACTCGGCAATGTACTATTGTAAACATTGGCTCAACATCAAAATGTTTTAGGTTTTACACTTAGTGTAATAATGATAATTAATATTACAATAAGCGTTGTGGTTGTGTTTATATTGCCGTTAATGTAACAATTCTTTATACTGCTACAGAAATAAAATTGTGACGATTATCAGTCAATATGACAATACTATACGGCGATAACTGAAGTTCTCGTCAAGATACGAAAACAACACGTTCATGTGAGAACAAAGCGATAAGACAAATAAAAAACAAGACCGCGACAACACCTTCTGTACACGCAAATTCGCAGTTTAAAGTGTCGTGCTATCGCCTTGTCTGGTTGTTGCGACAATGCAATAAAGCGATATTTCCAATGCAATAAAACCACGTTTTGTATACGAACTGCGATTTAAGAGATGATCGTACATGACGACGATGTTTGAATTTTAAAACATGAAACGAAGCAGGTCAAATTCAGGGACAAGTCTCAGTATCAAAAATGTCTTCAAATAGCCCAGCGTACAATATATAATAATGCAACATTACATCTGTACAAATGATATAACTTAAGCGTATAGCTTATGGATGATAGTGTTACGTGCGACACAGTGATACACACATGTACATTAGGATATTTTATAATTTCCGAACTATGTTCTTAAAACATTAATTTTCCAAATTCAGCGTTGTGTTCATTGTATTTAGGTACTGCGCTTTATGATACATATTTTGGATGGAAAACAATAAGGATAGACGCAAGCTTTCCTATACATGTTTTATTTGATCAAAAACCGGTCTTTTCCAGCTATATATTTTCAGAAGAATGTCTCTTGCAGTTTCTATCGAGAGCAGCATGTTTACTGTTTTAAATGAATTACTGAAGCATGCAATATGTCCTTCCGCCATCAGCAGGAACACAATAAACAATGATATAATACAGTTCCTTCCGTCCATGTTACCGGTATAGGGCTGCGCTCAGTAGATAAAACAATCCAAAAACACTAGTCTTGCTTTCTATTGAGACATTAAAATAACACACCCCCCATCAGACACACACACAGACTTAGAGGGTTGTTGCTACCACTATTGTAATAATTATCAGACCAACAGTAGAACGTAAGAATTATTTAGGTTCACGGTGAGCCGATTGAGTTCAACGACTCACATCGTTATTTAGGAATAACTCTTAGTAGTAATTGCAAATGGAGAGCCCATATAATCAAGTTTGATCAAATCTATGCTCTGACTAAACTTAGTATAACGTACATAAGTCTACTCTCAATACTTAATTTGTATCAGAACACTTGTCCGACTCCCTTGAAAAAGTTAGAAGCAGTTTGAATCGTCTCACCACTGTACCGTCATAAATATTGACTCACCCCTATACAGTTAAAATCATTGACTCACCACTGTACCGTCACAAATATTGACTCATCCCTATACAGTTAAAATCATTGACTCACCTCTGTACCGTCACAAATATTTATTCACCTCTTTACAGTTAAAATCATTGACTCATCACTGCACTGCCATCATAATTGACTCACCCCTATACAGTTAAAATCATTGACTCACCACTGTACCGTCACAAATATTGACGCACCTCTTTACTGTTAAAATCATTGACTCACCACTGCACTGCTATAATAATTGACTCCTCTCTATACAGTTAAAATCATTGACTCACCACCGCACTGTTATATTAATTGACTCCTCTCTATACCGTTACATGTATTGAATCACAACTGTATACATGATCGTTAATAATGAGACTTCCATTCAAAGGTTCATAAAGGAGTTTTCATTTCAAATGATTTGATGAAAAAAACATGTTTAATAAAATTGTATATGAAGTTAAAAAGATTCTAGAAAAGTTCTATTTTGACCGGTATGCAAGTCAAGATCTGGGGGACAAAATCAAACTCAGCTATTTTGTTGTGTCATTTTCAATTGATGAGGAAACATTATTGTCTGTAGTATAACATAACAATAAAGTTTTGAGTGTCACAGTCAGTGAAAAATACTCCAGATTATAGATACAGGCGACATACAAAATGTATGTAAAAATATCATATTGGAGAATTCACGGGATGATATGTGACCCCTATAAATATTGTCCCGGCTCCATATCTGTAAGCTGACATTATCTCTGTGATTTAATATCAAATTGACAGTGCTCCATCATACCGCTACCATCCACCTTTTCAAATCCTGGATCCAACACTCGTACCGTTACGTTAACTCGCTACTGCTTCCTTACCTGTATCAACAGAAGTATAAATCGTATTATATTACAATATTACAATATTTTTGATATTACAAACATTGACTCACCTCTTTGTCGCAGTAAATGTTGACTCATCAGTGTATCGTTTCTGTAACTCGCCTCTTCACAGTTACTCGTATAACTGTATTGTTTTTTGACTCATCATAGTACCATTGATTCGACTCACCTCTATACCATTACATATCAATCATCAATTTTTCATTGATTTCTACAAACACAGGAACTATGGCTGCCGACTGTTCCTATCTCTACAAACACTACGTTAATGAGACGGATACCTACAGAGAAGTCATTCGCCTAAAAACCTGTAGCCGCACACAGGAGTGCTGTGGTAACTACACAGACAGGCGATGCTGTCCCCTGTCATCTCGGCAAGTAAACCGTGTGTGGTGAAGGGGCTAAATACATCAAAGATACTTGGCAGTGTGTCAACTTATTTAGAAATTACAAAACTTCAAGTCAATAGCAAGCGTGAGAATCAAAATGGTCCTAGAAATCTGTTGTCGCCATACGTGTTCTTAAGATCTCGTAAATAGCGAGACCTTGTATCGAATGGACCAATTCCCTTCATGATACAGAAGGGTGTTATGCCATAGTTTGATCAACATTTAACATCAGTTGAGATGGAAAAGTCCATTAATATCGTATCCGACATTTGTTCCAGAACGAAGACGTCGTCTTACGGCAAAAGTAACCAGCACGCACCTGCCCTGTTACTTATTGGTATAACGTCAGCCCTGGTGATTATTGGGGTGATTGCCATCTTCTGTTGGCGCCTGGTCTGTTTATCCGCCTATAAGGAATCTCGTCTGTCTGTTCGGTCACAACCTGCTGGAACACAAGGTATGTTAACGTAAATATATCGCTTCTTCGCAATCACGATATTTGTTGCATCTCTTCGTTTCGTCCGACATCGTATTCCTCACGCCTGTGGTCCTGGAGTTTTTAATAAGTCATTAATTGAAACAAACTTTGTGTTGGTGGCACTTTAATATTCCAGTTTAAGTGAAGATCCAAGGCGTATAAATTTTATTCGGGACAGTCTGTGTTTAGTAAGAAGCTAAGATCACTAACGCTCTGTCTTGTCGATACTGTGTCTTTGGGCAAGCCGCTTTACCGCAGATACTCTGGATGGCAGGTCCTAGAAAGATACCCTTCTAATGTCTCATTTAATTTTGTTTACTTAAATACAGATAGAAATGAGGCCAATTCTCGTCAGGACAGACGCCACGTGACTCGTCTTGGTCATCACCATGGCATGCATGGACACGGTCACCATCATCGCGTACATGTTGCTCTTCCAAGTCCACATTACTCGTCCCCAGTGGTTCTTCTAGATGAACACTTCGCTGGTCCGCATCCACCGGCATATACAAAGAAGTTCCCCGAGCTCAAGTACCTAGCCCCACCGTCATACGAGGACACTGTTGCTGTTAGAGGTAGAGATTACGTTCTTACGTTCTGTTATGAAATATTTAAACACATTTTAAATCAACTTGTAGGAAATACCTGATGTGTATGATTATAGGATATGAAGACAGCATGGAGAAATCATCCTACCGACAAAACACGACCAAATCACTATCCAGTATTGTATTATAAAGGTTTATTGTGTAACGGTAAGAAATGTGTTGTATTTTACCTTTACGGTATGGCGAACTGTTGTTTCCTTCTTAACAAATTATTTCAGAAACTGATCCTCCACCAGCATATACAGACGAACGTACATCCACGTGTTCGGACCACGTGTCTATAGATATGCACCAGGAAGAGGACACAGAGCGGTCACGAGATCAAGCGAGTTAAATATGGGAGAGAAAGAAGAAGACGCGAACGACAACGGAGGTGGGAGGAACAAGGTCGCAGCGAGGACAGAGAGGGGGGAGAGAGAGGAGGGAGAAAGCGGGAGAGTGAGAGGGAGAGAGAGGGGGTGTGGGTGCGGGAGGGGGAGAGGGAGGGAGAAGGGGGAGAGAGTGGGGGAGAGAGAGGTGGGGGTGCGGTAGGGGAGGTTGGGGGTTCGGGGGCATCGGCAAGGTTGTAAAAGTTAGGGCTTCTAAGTGTTTTGGTGATTTTTTATTAAGATCATCATCGTGTTATATATGGCATTACCATATCTGTAAAACACTTGTCAACGAATCCATATACTTATCACAGGTGTCATTACTAGTCACTGTGTCATAGAGAGTCAGTATGTTTCTAAAACGAGTCATTGTAATAATGTTCGTAACAAGGGTGCTGTATTGTCTTCAATTACGAATCTGAAATTTGTCATGACGATTCTTTGAGTTTGCGACACGTGTCAGTAAGTGTACAATTAATGCATTTTATGTGTCACTGTAAGTCTTCAGTGTGAGACAGTGTCAGCGTGATCATATGTGTTACATGTATATGTCAACCCTTTGAGTTTGTGTAAGAGCATATGTGTTTCATGAGTCTGAGTTTTTAATGCATGTCAGTAAGGTGATATGTGTTACATGTGTCTGAGTTTATGACAAGTGCCAGTAAGGTGATATGTGTTACATGTGTCTGAGTTTATGACAAATGCCAGTAAGGTGATATGTGTTACATGTGTCTGAGTTTATGACAAGTGCCAGTAAGGTGATATGTGTTACATGTGTCTGAGTTTATGACAAGTGCCAGTAAGGTGATATGTGTTATATGTGTCTGAGTTTATGACAAGTGCCAGTAAGGTTATATGTGTTATATGTGTCATTGCGAGTCTTGAGTGTGTGAAATACTATATGTTTCATGTGTCATTACGAGTCTTCGAGTTTTAAATGCACGTCAATAACAAGGTATGTTACATGTGTTTCAGTTTATGACAAGTGCCAGTTAGAGTTCATTTGTTATATGTCATTACGAGTCGTTGTGTTTGTGAAATAAAAACGAATTTATTATTTTGTTTATCCACCTAAATAATATTGTCAACATTCGTAAAATCATTTAAACAGACCAATATGACCTTAAATGGAGATAGTTTTTTCGTTGCCATTTCTCTGATATTTTGAAAAAATGGAAATAAAAGTGGCGCCAGGAAGACCAGCTATCGGACCTTAATAACTGCTCAGATAAGCTTTTTACACAGTTTGTAATATATTGGATGTAACAGGTGTTAGGTGATACTGAGAAATTATCGTGTATTCATCGACAAAACAACACTACATTATTACACTAGGCTCACTATTTAACAAGAAAATCCTGTACAATCACTTGAAACGTTCATAAACACGAAAACAAGAATTACGTTTAGGGTTAGATAGACATCGAGGTAGAAAATACAACACATGAATCAGACGCCAAAGATTTACAAATAGAGACCACCCAAACAAACACAACAACTTTTTCCAGAACCTTACCGCATACCACCATCTCCAACATTATATACCAACTGGTAGCATCCGCTCCCTGTACAACACAGAAGACACCTACATCATATCAGACACACAACAGAAGGGAGACAACCCTTGATACAATCAAGATAGCGTATCAAAACCTGGCACCCCCAGAATACCAAAAGCACTCAAACAAAAAAGGCAAAAAAACAACCAATAGTCGCGAAATCACCATACACACTAAGAAGCAGTAAAGCACACAGGCAAACTAAACAGAACACCAAGAAAATACCAACATGGCAACAATATCATGATTCAATCAAAAATTCCATACAACAGGGGCAAAATGTGAACAAACGAAAGGTTTACATGGAGACTCCTTAAAAAAAGGACAAGGAGAATAAGACCAGATGTTTCAGAAGAGTAAGCATCTTCTACTTCATCGAAAACACCGCCATGTAAACCTGACCTAGTAAGTAATGTCACGTTCTCAAATACTAAGTATTAAGTACTAACCTTGGTCTCAGTCAAACAAAGCTCTAATATACGAACCACAATATCGACGAAATCCTACGACATATTCTGCCCAGAAAGGACTTTTTCCATCTCATAAGATTGTGATGACTTAAAAACTTTATCAGTCATCAAGAACTGATGTATCTCGAAACCATGTGGTTTTTTTCCGAGTATGCACGCGACATTATCACAAAGCTTGTTACACTGCAAAATTTAAGAAAAACCTAATTTTTTTAGCTTTGAGTAAAAATATGTTCCATGGATTTAGTCCTAGAAGATAATATTATATGACACTGAAATTTAAGAATAAAAGATCTGCATGTATCTTGTTACTTGGTTCTCTAATAGATAAATTCAGTATCGGTTAATGTAAATGTGATTTTCAAGAAAAGTATTACGCCTTTCACAACTTCCTTGAAAAATATACAAATTTACTCCACACTTCAGTAAACACTTGAACATTTGAACCGTCGGAAACTGGAAATATATATTAAACAGCAATCCATTCTAAACGCAAGAGTTATTGAATACTCAAATGTAATAAAAATGCTAATGATCGACCCAGGTTATTAATAGTGGAGTGCAGAATCGAACGTAATTAGCATATCGTTGTAATTTTAATGTCTTGTGACGCTTTTAGAATCCATATTTCGTTAGGATAGAATACCGGCTTTGCAGCAATAACTTTTGTTTCGGAAAATGCGTCTCTTTTTAACTGACTTGCTTTTCTGTTCATATGAGCGCATCAACACGGGCTGCAAATACTTCGCCGTGTCGTTTGATTTCGTTCTACATCGATGATAACTTGTCCTATATAACAGGATCATTTTTGACCTCAGTATACATCCACCAGATTTATAAAAGGAAACTTGATTTTGAGGTTTGCAGAAATCTGCAGGCTGCGTTTAATTCAGTTATGATAGTATTTCCACAAATTAAGACAAGGTGTTAGAAGACTACATATTTATTGAACAAGATTACACAGTTACGTGCAGATGTGTCCAATTATATTAAGTATCTCTAAATATGTTGTATTAAATTTCAGATTACTTTGAGAAGGAAATTGACCTGTGTAACCTTGCCACATGGACAAATATCACAGCTTATCCCGAGAGTTACAGTTTATAGTAGTTTCTGATTCGAAATCCTCGGAAAGTTCTTTCTAATTATAGATTGGTTTAATTTACTTTCCCACACGTGATATGTTTGATTCGGTCCGTTCAGTACATTTCTGTATGTCATATACTCAAAACGAAAACTATGAATGTCTGGTGTTACATAAAACCAGACCGTTTTCATAAAAAAAAATGTTTTTGAAAAAGCAGAATCTTCGCTTTTAATGTCATGACTATGTTCATTTCTGAATCCAACTTCGCATGGTTGATTTATTTGTAAATTGCAAAACTTTTTTTTTATATTTTGTTAGATATTATTTGTAGCATGTTTTCATACACCTTTAAAATTGAATAAGAATCCAATTTTCGCCATGCATCCAATCTAGTCAGTGGTATTTTGGACCGAAATTTTGAAACTTTGGAGGCGACAGAAAACAAAAAAAAAAAAAAAAAAAATCGAACGAAATGTCAAAATTGAAATGAGGAGATGTACAAGTCCTATGATTCCATAAAACCTTGTAATCAGTTTTATAAATCTAATTATTTAGAAGAGTGCTAAGTACATAAAGTGTACATTCTGAATGATGCCGCTATTCAAATGGTATAATATATAACATGTAGGTTATGGTGTTCTATTTTGCCAGCGATTTATTATAATGCCAGACTTTTGAAGAAATAACGAAGTTGATACCTGAATCCTAAAATGTTTATTTCACTGATTCATCAATTGTCGCTATTTATACTGTACATGTATTTTTTAATTTATTTTGTTTGATAATTTGTCTGAAATCATACATGTGACTTTTTCGATTAAAAACAATAGTTTTTTATACAAAACATAAGTTTGTTTATATATTTTTAAGTGGTAAGAATAACAAATCAGAAACAAATAGTGCTTCTCGTACTTTCTATTTTTCTCATTTACGCATATTTGTAGATAAATCTAAGAATAGGGTATTCTTTCGGTTTTAGACATGCAATTTCTCAAATTGAAGATTCGAACTTCAATTTAGTTTTCGTAACCGTCTCTATATCAGTTCATGTATTGGTTAAAAAGTAGTTACCTCATGGATTTAACATTTCGCGTTTTTTCCATGATACCCTGCTTAAGATTTCCAGCAACACCTTAACCAGAGACTATCCTCATAGCACCGGTGTATATAATTATATCGCTGTTGGTACTTATATGGTTGTATGTATAGCTTGCGTCAGAGTTCTATTTTTGTTGGGATGTCAAAGATAATTGTCAAAGTTGTTAGAGAAAGAAAAATGGCGTCCTTTCATATTTTGTCTTGAAAGCTTAAAAACCCTACCGAACCTGGATTGAACCACGAAACGATTTCAAAGGAGGAGTGCCAGTTTGGGCTTTCTGGTGGCCATGACGAATACTTTTTGTTTTTTGTCTATTAAAAACTTGAGGTCAGGCGGTAATGACATGACATTAATCTAAGGTCAGCTCAAGGCTGTTTAGTTGTTATAGGGGGACGAGTGGGGGATCAAATTAATAATTATTACAATAAGTATCAAACTAAAATTTTTTTTTCAGTTTTTTTTCTCTCTTAAATGTCATTTGATGATATATTTCGATGAATGTTAATAATTTGTTTATATTTTAGTAAACTCAGTGCTTTGAATGGTTGTTTTGTAGATTTGTATTTGACAATGTCACTTGGGAAGGAAGTTTAGGTACTATCAGTTGCATGATGCTGAAGTCGCCGTTAAGGTCTCGGTGGTCATATAATTTTCAGAACAATTCTAGGATTTTAACTGTACACTGGAGAAAATTTACAGGTTATAGAAAGACATTTCCAAAGTGTGTGAAGAGAGTCAGGGGTGTGAATGT